AGAGAGAAGGAGAAATATAATAATCAGAGGTACGAAACTAAGAAGGGAGGAGATGAAAGAGAAGGCGGAGGAGATAGTAAAGGCAACGAGAGTAGAAAACGCGATAGAAGAGGTAAAAGAGGTAGGCGCGGTTGAAAGAGGGAAAGAAGTTAGCATGATGCTACTAAAAATAAAATCGAGCGAGTTAAAGAGGAGGATAATGGAAAACAAAAAGGCGCTGAAAGGGCAGGAAGAGAGAATAGAAGAAGAAAACTAACGTGGGCGGAGAGGAAGACGCAATGGATCCTAAGGAAAATTGGAAGAGAAGAAAGAGAGAAAGGAAGATATGTATGGGTAGAGCAAGGCAAAATAAGAATAGAAGGAAAATAGTGGAGATGGGATGAAGAAAAGGAGATGCTAATAGACGGGGAGAGGAAGGAGTGGAAGGCCTCGCTAGGAAGACGACAAAGGAAGGGGGAAGAGGAGCAAGGGACATAGGGGAGGGAGAAAACGTGGAAAGAATATATAAGCAAAAGAAAAGAGGAAGGAAACGGGAGGTGAAGGCGAAGCAGCAAGAAGGAAGAGGAAGGAGGGGCGAGAGGAAGGAAGCGGAAGGGGTTAAGGGAGGTTGTAGGATAGCAGAAAAGAAAACCAGAATTGAGGAGGAAAAGGGAATTTGGACAGTAGGATTTTGAAACTGTGCTGGAGTAAGAAATAAAGATGAAGACTTCTGGAAGACAATAAAGGAATGGGATGCGGTGGTCCTTATAAAGATATGGTTGGAGGAAAGGGGATGGGAAAATATGAGAGGCAGGCTACCAAAAGGATTCAGGTGGGAGGCGAAGTTAGCGAGAAGAAGGAATAAAAAAGGGAGAGCAATGGGAGGGATGATAATGGGGGTAAAAGAAGAGATGTTGGGGAGGGAGGTCTATATTATTATTACTATATCAACATTACATATGTAATATACATTTAATAACAATGTCATTATTGCTATATCTGCGTTGGACATAATGTAATATACTGATTCCTTCCCACAGATCAATGTACATTTAATAACAATATCACTCATACTATATTTTCATTAGATATAATGTAGTATACTGATTCCTTCCCAGAGAGAAGTGTACATTTAATAACAATATCATTAGTACTATATCTACATTCGATATAGTGTAATATACTGATTCCTTCCCACAGATCAATGTACATTTAATAACAATATCATTAGTACTATATCTACGTTCGATATAATGTAATATACTGATTCCTTTCAGAGAGCAGTGTACGTTTAATAACAATATTATTATTACTATATCAACATTAGATATGTAAGATACATTTAATAACAATGTCATTATTGCTATATCTGTTTTTTTTATTAAACGGTTTCTCCTTCTCGGCCTCCATAACACCGCCCCCGGAACCGCAGGTTTGCATTTCATCGGGGGAGTTATCTCCATAGGCTATCGATCACTTCCATCATTTACACTTCTGTGTTTAACCGTTTCCTTTCTCGGTAGCTTAACCCTTCCAATATTTTTAGGGAAATCCAATTGCCTATTCAGTACGTCGCATCAATTAACAATAGTCAAAAACAATAAAATATCTAGTAATAAACACGTCAAGAATAGTAGTCAATAAACAATAAAATATCTAATAGTATGCACGTCAATGAGCTTAAATGAATAAAACCACAAATTTAACTATAAACCACCGAATTTACATTTTTCAGATCGTCTCGCGAAAGCAAGATATTAGGCAATATATATACCCCAGCTCCTCGAAGACAGCTCAAACTCAGTGAATAAGAAAAACAAAAGAAATCCATTTGCAGGTGAAAACTTATGCATCAAAAATGAAACTAAAGTTTTTTGCTGCTTCAGGGTTTTATTAAATATATCTGTCGATAGAAGATAGACGATACTAAAAACTTCTATTTACTCTTTTCCGTAAGATTTTCAGTCCTACTCTTTTGTACTAAAGTATAGGGCTTATCCTCTGGGCCTTACCACTACCCTTTCGTAGGCCTCTTTGTCCTTTAGACTACTGACCAGGAACTCCATGACTACAGACCGCGTATCAGGGTTTTTTAACATAGCAAAGAAATTTTCTTGCGCAAAATGGCCTCCAATGCGGGCTCGCATAGAGCTTCTTGCCGCTTCCCAGCGCTCACAGCGGAACAGGAAATGGCCAGGATCATCCACTTCCCCTGGGCAAACCAACAAATGCTGGTGGATTGTTTTTTAAACCTTTCCAGGTACGTGCCAAAGCATCCGTGACCCGTCAGGCACTGTGTTAAGTGGTAGTTTAGGATCTTTGGGCCCCACGGCAGCCACTCCTTGATGCTAGGTATGATGCTATAGGTCCACCTGCCTTTCGTTGCCACATTCCACTCGTTTTGCCAAACCTCTATCGACCTATCTCTTTCTGACGCCTTGTCCGGTGGATTCGACGACTCTGTTCTGGTTTTTGCGTCATAAAGCCACTCTCTTTCCCTGGCTAAATGATCGAGTGGGAGTTGTCCACCTAAGACGCACAGAGCTTCGAAAGAAGCAGTCCTATATGCCCTAGTTAGCCTTAAAAGGGCGACCCTTTGTGTGCTACGTAGTAATCTAACAATTAAGCTAAATTTCAGGGCTCTAGACCATATTGGTGAAGCATACATTATAACTGATTCTATTAGCCTGTAATAGAGCATCCTTGCTACCTGGCCAGCGCCCGCAACGTTCGGTATTAGTTGGGATAAAGCATGTATATACGTATATGCCCTATCGGTTGCCGTTTTTAAATGTACTTTGAAGGTGGAATTTTTCTCTAGAATCACACCCAGGTACTTCACCTGCTCTTTCGTGGTGATTTGATTACCTTCGCATGAGAACGACACTCCACCCTGTACCTTTCTACCAGTTAGAAGGATCGTCTCTGTTTTGTGGTGGGCCAATACCAGTTTCTCCTCCTTATACCACTCACTCAGGTCTTTTATTGTGAGGCTGACCAACTCAGTGATTTTCTTCAAGTCCTTTTCGATCACTATAATGGCAATATCGTCCGCATACCCGATCAGGTAGACGTCTCTACGGAGTCTTCTACGCAATAACCCATCGTACACCATGTTCCAAAGTATTGGTCCAATAACGGACCCTTGTGGGACACCGCCATGTACCTGGAACATGGCTTTACCTTCCGCTGCGTCATATACAATCCACCTATCGGTCAGATAATTTTCCAAGAATTTTCTTAGTATAGGAGGGAATTTTCTCCGCACCATATCTCTTCTAATACTGCGCCAGGTGACCGTATTAAAGGCGTTTTGTACATCTAATAGTACCATCAGGCAATGTCTGCGTTTCTTTCGGGCCATATCCCAGAGTGTTTGCACCCGCGTCAGGGCGTTTAGGGTAGATAATCCCTTCCGGAACCCATACTGATTTTCCTCGAAGTCACATTTGTGCAAAGCCGTTAAAAGCTTGCCTTTTACTACATATTCTAACATTTTGGCGATGCAGGAAATGACCGAGAGTGGTCTAAAGGCCTTTTCAGTGGAGGTACTATCCGGGTTCCTCTTTGGGATCAGAACTAACCTACCGGTCTTCCATTTTACCGGCCAATATCCTGTTTTGAAGCAGGTGTTAAAAATACCTTCAAAATATCTGGACGCACACAAACCCATTTTTCTAACCGCCTCGGTAGGGACCCGATCTGGTCCGGCCGCTTTTTTTGGTTTCAAAAGTTTTGCCGCATCAATCACCTCTGCTTCTGTAACAGATTCCTCTTCCATTTGATCAGTCGCCTCCGAGGTTACGCCATCCATAGGGTCGTCATCTGCTTCTATTGGGTCATTTCCATCTTCTTGATAGTGGTCTGCCGGTTCTATTGGTGCCTTCGTTATGAACAGCTTATCTACAACCTTTCTAATATTATCTGCGTCTAGCTTCTCCGGTGGAGTCTTTCCCTTAAGTGCCTGGATCACCGCAATATATGGCTTCCCCCATATGTCTTTATCTACTGTGTCTAACAGTTCTCCCCAGCTCTTTCTTTTGGCCGTACGAATGGCCGAGCACATATCTTTTTTGGCATTTTTATAGGCGCTCAAAGCCTCCCTTAAAGCATTCGGGTCACCCCTTCGTTTGCAGCGGGTGAACTTCCGGCGAGTTTTGTGTGCGAGTGCACGTTTTTGTGCAATCTCGTCGTTCCACCAATTTACAGGAGTTTTCATTTTTGATGGGTGTATGGGGTTGTCAGTACACTTATCCACCATTGTTTCTAGGTCGTCGAGGAATAGATCCACGTCCTCGCGTGTATGTACCCTTGGTAGATTCTCAAAGTTCTCGTTTGAGTATTTTTCCAGGAACATGTCCTCCAATTTCTTACCATTTACTTTCCCAAGTACTAGATCGAAGGGTGACTCATTCACATCCCTTGCATCCTTATTTATCTTGAAGATATGTTTTAGGTACCGGTGATCTGAGGCCGAGAAATTATCCATAACCTCGCTAACCACCATTAGTTCTTGGGTAGACCTATTACAGATAATGATATCGATTTTGGAGCCTGCACCCCTATCACAGGTATTGCCGCCTTTTGTTAATATAGGGAAAAGGTCGAGATTTACACAAAATTGTTGTACCATCTTGCCTCTTTCACACAGCCTGTCTGATCCCTAGCTAGGGGATTTAGCATTTAAGTCTCCGGCAATAATTATCTTTTTTCCCCTCAGGGGCGCCATACACATATGTAATACAGTTAGAAAGTCCTCAAAGTCCTTTATTGAACAGTTTGGTGACACATAACAACTACTGATATAAAAATCACCCACCCTGACGGTAATGAAACCTTTCCCACTGCCCACATGCATGATACACCTGTTCTTTTTCAGACCTCGGGGGGTTACCCAAATAGCCGCTCTCTTTGTCGTGTCTGCGAACCAATAGTCCGGTACCACATAGGGTTCACTAATTATCACCACCTCCGCTTCGATTTCTTCCACCGTAACTTTTAATAGGTCATTTGCCGCCCTGCAATGGTTCGCATTGATCTGTAAGATATTAATTTTGCCCTTTGAGTCTTAAGGCCTCCTTATATTTTCGGCACTTAACCGAGGCCGCTACATGCCTCAGGTCTGCTTCAGGGAGGTTGTCCGCAAGGCAAAGTCTGCATCTAGGCTCAGCTGTACACTCACGCATCTGGTGGTCCGGATTACCACATTTTCTGCATAATCCGGTACCTGTTACCGTCTTACAGTTGTTAGCGACGTGGCCAAAATCGTGGCATCGATAGCATCGAAGGAGTCGGGGGACTTCCTTCACAAAGGCAACCGTCCATCCAATTTTTATTTTGGCCTTCCTAACTAATCTGGCCATTTTCACAGCGGGGCCCTCCATAATGGCCACCTTGTTTAATCTAGGGTCTGCTCTTAGAATTTTTAACTGTACATCCGTGACGTCTCCTAATTCTCGTTTAACCGCCTCTAATACCTCCTCTCTGTCTGCTGAGGGGTCAATGCCCTTTAGTTCGACGTCCATTCTCTGTTGCAGACGTGCTACCTCAATGTCAGGGCCAAGCTTACCGTCGATGATTTTCCTAAAGCCGTCCAGATCAGCATCCGGTGCAAACTCTATTAACAGGTTGCCAGCCCGGGACTGCTTCACTGATTTCACTCCCTCTGGAGCAGAGCCAGCGACCATCTTGACTTTTTTCAGTACTTCCGCGAAAGAGGCTTCCTTCCCAAATCTCACTGCGATTGCTTGTGGCCTTACGGGTCTCTTACTTGGTGTTTTTCGCTTCTCTAGCTTGTTAGCATTATTTTTATTCAAAGCCGCCTGTAAGTAGTTTTCATTAGTTCCGATCCGCTGCTTTTCTACATCATTCTTTCTTTTTCTAGGCTGTACCGTTTCCCATTCTGAGTCCGTCATGGTGTCGGATCTGGGAGTATCCATCACTATACTCTCGCTATCAGGCTTTTCTCTTCGCGGGGCGCCATAAATGGTTTGCCTTCGAGATTTTTTCTCCGCATTCTGTGTGGGGGGAGTGATCTCCTTCCTTTTGTTCCTCACAGTCGGTAAGGGCGGAAATTGCTCTTCTATCGCCTCTACCGTTTGGGTAGCAGCACATTTGTAATTTTGTCTCTTATTTTTTGCAGGTCCATCATCATCTGGTGCCATTTCAGGGATCGGCGTACCAGTGTAGGTAAGTGGCTGCATTTCTCTTTCTCTATTTCTTTTTGTTTTCCTGTACTCCGTATGAAAACATCGCATCTGATCTATTGACTCCGCAAATCTTTCTAGGTAGCTACCCATTGTTATGTAGGTGTCACGCATTTTAGGCGCAACATATCTACTTCTTTGCATGAAGCTCTTTATGGCAGAATTATGGTCAATAATTGTCTCGATCATTTTGGACATCGCCTCAAGGCAGAAGTCCATCTTTTCCTCAATGGTTACATCAGCTGTGCCTTCGTTAGCCTTGCTGCCCCCAGTCCACGAATCCTTTCTCGTACTTGGTATATCCTCCACCTCTTCTTCATCCCCAGTAAGATCGACCGAGTTCATCCTTTCTTTTCCTGGGTGCACAGTCTCTCCTTTTTCCGGAGGAGTCCGGATTAACTTTGGCTTCTTCACAAAGATTTCAACTTCTCTGAGTGACCCAGGCCAGCTGTCGCTAGTGTCGCCAGTAACAGTTTCCTTCGCAGGGGCCTGACGGTTCACCGCCTGCGATGTCCAGTCGTTTGATGACGACTCGGGGGGGCCTGAACACTCACCACCCACCGAGCCGGCACTGGAACCTCCGATAGCTCCTGCACCGTAGCGTTTTTTATCCTTTGTCTTGTTACTCATATTTGATATTTTAGAATTGTATAAGGGGAATAGCCATGTTCGACATAATATTTAGCAGTCCAGAAAAACCACAAACCGGTGTGTGATATACGGCAGGTACCCATATACTCCCACCGTGTAGTTTCTAGTGTTTGGTCCGCGGGAGCTATTTTATTTCACTCCTACCCTTCATGCACTGCGAAAAGTACATGGCGAGCATTCCACTATCCGCCACCTGTGGACGCGCCACGTCGGGGTATCACCTCCCCGCCTACTCTGGACAACCAGGTAGGTACGTGGATTATTGCTATATCTGCGTTGGACATAATGTAATATACTGATTCCTTCCCACAGATCAATGTACATTTAATAACAATATCATTATTACTATATCTACATTAGATATGTTGTGTACATTTAATAGCAACATACGTGGGAGAAGAATAGAGATGGGGTGAACACCACATCTACAAGTTCAACAACCGAGTAGCCGTTCGCATAGCACCTACACCAACTCACGTGTAATGCTGATCCGATACTTTTTATGACGCTCGACCTCCAGGCATAAAGAAAGAAGGACAGAAACAAAGAGCAGCAGAGAGGAAGAAGGATGGACTGAAGGAACGAACGAAGGAAGGAAAGACGGAACTAAGAAAGAAGGAAGTAGGAAAGAGAGAAAGCAATAACGGAAGGAAAAGAGAAAGGAAACAAGCAGCAGCCAAAAAAGTGTAAGAACGAGAAAATAAAATGCTTAGAGGGGAAGTTGGGATCACGGCCTGTTTCTATGCGGAGCCGATGCTTTCAACCTTGGATTTGACTACAAAATATACGCACATTATAAATAAAATGATTTTCAGAACTAATAGAATTTTATCATCACTCTCGGAGAGAACGAGCTGATTTGGTATATCCAGTTCACTAAAAACCTCATTTCCGAGACAAGACAAATGGTGCAGCGACTAATACGATTTTTTGTTCCTCGATCAACAACCTTTGCATCTATATTTTAAATGCAAAGCTTCTGCGAATAAAACTCATTTGTATTGTCTTTTGCAAATTGCAACCATAATCAATATAATAATATATTTCACGAGATTCGAATGTTTGATGCAGTCCTTTGCGTTATAAATAACTGATGCATTAACTGCGTAACTGCGATGTGTTAACGAACTGTGAAATGATAAAACTATACATTTATCTTGCGTTTATATTCGAAGTGCAAAACTTCAATGAGTTAAATTCATTTTTATTTTCGTTTACACGCAGTAGCTCTTCGTCTTTTTAAATACGCTCCTCTTAGAATTTACACTACCTATATGCTGGCATTGTGATTGAAATTCGAGAATTGTCCTATAGCATGAAATTCGAGCGATACGCGAGACTGACGCGCCAAGATCACTGGAGAGGGGTACCGGGCGACTAACGCAAAATGCATTAACGTATAGGGAAATTTTGACGGCTTTTTTCTAGGGGAAGGGTTGATTTCCAGCACATGGTTCCTTTCAGACTTTTTATCCCCTCGATGGGCACTATACGATAAGCTAATAAAAAAATTTCACATTGAAATTAGGGGTCAAGGTGAATTTTGCAGTCGCTTTCTTTGACAGATCTCCACCGATCCAGAGGTGTAGAATCACCCCATATAGGTCGGAACATTTAATTTTTTTACACGCTGTACATTGATCTGTGGGAAGGAATCAGTATATTACATTATGTCCAACGTAAATATAATAATAATGACATCGTTATTAAATGTATGTTACATATCTAATGTAGATATAGCAATAATAATATTGTTATTAAACGTACATTGATCTGTGGGAAGGAATCAGTATATTAGATTATGTGTAATGTATATATAGTAATAACGATGTTGCTATTATATGTACATTGATCTGTGGAAGGGGATCGGTATATTACATTATATCCAATGTAGATATAGTAAGAATGATATTGTTATTAAATGTAGGTACATTGGTCTGTGGGAAGGAAGCAGTATATTACATTTTAGGTAATGTAGATATTGTACTAACGATAGTATTATTAAATGTCCAATGATCTGTTGGAATGGATCAGTATATTACATTATATCCAATGTAGCTATAGTATGAATGATGTTGTTATTAAATGTTCATTGATCTGTGGGAATGTATCAGTATATTGCAATATATCCAATGTAGATATAGTAATCATGACATTGTTATTAAATGTAGGTACATTGATCTGTGTGAAGGGATCAGTATATTACATTATATCTTATGTAGATACAATAATAATGATATTGTTATTAAAATGTATATTACATATCTAATGTAGATATAGTAATTAAGATATTGTTTTCAGATGTAGACTGATCTGTGGGAAGGAATCAGTATATTACATTACATCTCATGTAGATATAGTAACAATGATATTCTTATTAAATGTACATTGATCTGTGGGAAGGAATCGGTAACTTACATTATATCGAATGTAGATATGGTAATTAAGATATTGTTATTAAATGCACATTGATCTGTGGAAATGAATCAGTGTATTACATTACATGTAATGCAGATATAGTAATAATGACATTGGCATTAAATACAGATACAGTGATCTGTTGGAATGTCTCAGTACATGACATTATATCTAATGTAGGTATTGTAATAATGATATTGTTATTAAATGCACATTGACCTGTGGGAAGTAATCAGTATATTACATGATATCAAATGTAGATATAGAAATAATGATATTTTTATTAAAAGTATATTACATATCCAATGTAGATATAGTAATAATGATATTGTTATTAAAATGTATATTACATATCTAATGTAGATATAGTGATTAAGATATTGTTATCAGATGTAGACTGATCTGTGGGAAAGAATCAGTATATTACATTACATGTCATGTAGATATAGTAATAATGATATTGTTATTAAATGTACATTGATCTGTGGGAAGGAATCAGTAACTTACATTATATCTAATGTAGATGTAGTAATAATGATATTGTTATTAAATGTACAGTGCTCTGTGGGAAGGAATCAGTATATTACATTATATCGAATGTAGATATAGTAATAATGATATTGTTATTAAATATACATTGATCTGTGGGAAGGAATCAGTAACTTACATTATATCTAATGTAGATATGGTAATAATGATATTGTTATTAAATATACACTGGTCTCTGGGTAGGAATCAGTATATTACATTATATCCAATGTAGATATAGTAATAATGATATTGTTATTACAAGTATATTACATATCCAATGTAGATATAGTAATTAAGATATTGTTTCTAAACATACATTGATCTGTGGGAATGAACCAGTATATTACATTATATCGAATGTAGATATAGTAATAATGATATTGTTATTAAATGTACATTGATCTGTTGGAATGTAACAGTATATGACATTATATCGAATGCAGATATAGTAATAATGATATTGTTAGTGAATGTACATTGATCTGTGGGGAGTAATCAGTATATTATATTATATCTAATGAAAATATAGTATGAGGGATATTTTTATTAAATGCACATTGATCTGTGCGAAGGAATATGTATATTACATTATATCCAATATAGATATAGTAATAATATTGTAAATTGGTTATTTATAATGAAACAGGATGAGTACGAGAGAGTTGAGGATAAAGGGACAGTAGATAATACAGAAACAGATAAAGTAGAAATTACAGTTAGAGATGTAGTAGAGGCTTGCAAAAAGATACAGGTAAAAAAAGCATCAGGGCCGGACGGGATTCCGGCTTTGGCTGCCAGAGAAATAGGACTAAGAAATGCTGAAAGGCTGCAGAAAGTACTAGATTGTTATATAAAGAAGGGATATTGGCCAGAAAAGTGGAAAGTGACTCGGCTAGTGCTACTTCCAAAAGGGTAAAAAGAGGTGAGAACGGATAACATAGACGGAAAAATGAACCCATCGGATTTCAGACCCCTATGTATTGCATCTAACATGGCAAAGATATTCGAATACACAATAAAGGAAAAGTTACTAGAAGAATTAGAGAAAAATGATCTAACAAAAGACCAGTACGGTTTCAGAAAGGGGCTAAGTACAGTCCACGCAATGGATACAGTGATGGAACTATGGGACACAGAAAAAAAGAAAAAAAAACATTGCCTCCTTATACTGTTAGACGTAAAGAATGCTTTCAATTCGCTAAAATGGAAGAGCATAATAAGGGAAATGAGAAAAAAAGGGTTCCCGAGGGAACTGATTGAAATAGTCAAAGACTATCTTAAAAATAGATGGCTCATTGTAAACGCAGCAGATGGTTCCGATAGAATACAAGTCTTCGGCGAGGTTCCGCAGGGGTCCGTAATAGGCCCCTTTATGTGGAACCTGGTTTACGACGGGCTCCTAAAAATAAAAAGAATCAGAGATGTATATCTGATTGCCTTCGCAGATGACGTAGGGATCATTATAATCGAAAAAGACTTAGAGACTATGAGGATTATAGCAGATCAAACAATAAAAAATATACTACCATGGTTCCATAGCGAAGGACTGGAACTGGAACCGCACAAGTCGGAGGTGATCCTCTTAATGGGTCGAAAATGTCTAGAAGGAGTCCCTGTAAACATTAATAATGTTGAAATCGCAATACGCAATAGCGCCACATACCTAGGGGTAATTTTCGAAAAAAACCAAGTATGCAAAGAGCACATTAAGAACTGTACAAACAAGGCCGTTATGTATGCGATACACCTATGTACGCTACAGGCGAGGATTCTATATTACAGGGTGGTGGAATCTGTAGTCATGTACGCAGCTCCAATATGGGAAAGAGCATTAAAATACAGAATAAATG